GGTCTTGTATACAGATTAGGGCAGCCGAATGTGGGGTCGGCTGGGTGTCTGGCATCATCCGATTGGTCGCCTTGATTAAGGACAATTTTTAGCCAACCTGTGTGCATGGCTGAGGTCAGTGAGGGCGCCAGATGACTAAGACGAACACGTGACTTGGGCCCCTCTAACGCCTCCCCGTTGGAAATAAAACGTCGAGAAATTCCCGTCTTGGATCAAGTTTCTGCTTATCTTAGGCTACCGACATTTCTACAATGGTTTTTCGCGTTCTGACAGCGTAATATCCACATTGCAATCCTCGAGCAAATTGACCAGTGGGACTGTGCGGTCTAATTATGCCTTGGCCGGTACGTCCGTAGATTTAAGTCGGTTGGCATGTCTAAACCAAACCCCGTTACTATATCTTGTGACCATAGTTCCAAGCGACTTATCCTGCCATTTAGTTTGGTGGTTGATTTCAGTAATCTGCTGATGGAAGGGCTTGCCCTGAAGAAAACCTTTAGGATTAAGCACTTCGCCAGTTGTTATAGTACATTTCCTTTTAAGCAGTTTGAGGTAGTCAAAACCACGCCGAATATTCCATGGCTTAATACTGTGGCTGTTGATATGCCACCGAATACGGGATAATTCAGTTCTATTCGGCACAGTGAAAACAAATTATAAAAAAATTTCAGCAGTCTACTTTTACCATTCGCCTTACGTAGTGCTACCATGAAGATGGCCAGCTATCGGTACGTCTGGTCGAGGGTTTAACAGGGCTATTAAATGAAAATTAAGTCAAGCATAAGACTTTTCGGTTCTTGGCTTGTGAAATGTTGCACGGCTTAGGAGACTGGTTTCGCATTCTACCACGGAGTCAAGGTGGTTTTGGGTTCAATTCGCAAGCCAAGCACTTCAGTGGGTTTTTTGCAACGAAGTCGACTACACATAGAGCAGGAAGACGCCAATGCGCCTAAGTTTTTCATTCCAACACAGACAAAGGCGACGCAGGTCGGGCTAATTAGCCGAATATCATATAGCATTAAAGTAATTGCTGCTGAATAAAAGTGGTCGGTGATACTAGCAGGCCATTTGTAGTCTTTATCCTGAAACCGTAAGTGTCAGATAAAAATGCGCCTTCCCATTGTCCCACGGTTATGATAGTGATATCAGAGGCGATTTTTAGTTGCAAATTTACCAGCTGTGCAGTTGAGCATGGCTACCGTAGGACATATTCGAGGCAGCTGGATTTTTGTTTACTTCTTCTAGTGGGGGTGACATTTGATTGGGCCGTGTTGACAGTCTGCATAGCAGTGTTATCTTCTGTCACATCTCTGTGGCATTTCCGGAATCTGTGTTCTGTAAACGGTGGCAGAGAGATAAAACACCCTTCACCATCCACGGTGTGAGTGGATGGGACACCTTTAGATTCTTTAATATCGGAGGTACTGACTGTTCCTAGACTTTGGAAATTTCCATTTAACTAGAAGGGGTACATGTCACAAATTTTTCTGAATTTAGTCATCGGTCTGGCTTTTGTTCATCACGTATTTTAGAGAGAGTTTGATAGAGAAGGACAAGGTGGAATACCGTCATAATCAAAAAGATGAGCAGATTACAGAAGATGGGCAGAAAGGTAAAAAAATCGTTTTAGAATGAATGAACGAAGAAATGAGTGAGCAAGCTAGTAAATCCTACAAACCGACAAATTAGACTTCACAACCATCAAGGGCACGGACCAAACCTTGGGAGGAAATTATTGAACTAACAACAAACATAACATCATTCTAGTCTCTATTTCATTTACATTTTAAATATTTAGCAATGGCATGATTTAACTTAGGCAGGTGCCGTAAGTCAGATAAGGAACCTGTGTCACACATGTGTGACGCTGGAGTTCATAAGTTTGCCTACAGCCGACTTTGAGTCCGCTATATTTACAAGCTATTTCAATGCTGTGCTAGGATGAATTTAATCACACATTCTGATTATAATCATTTTAAAATTCCTGTTCAAATGTATTCACTATTTAGAAAGTTGCGCCACAAATGAAAGCAGCCTCAAAGGTGCAGTTTTTGGCGAAAATTATTGTTACTTGGCTCAGGTAGGTGGAAGTAAATAACAGCATGAAGAGCAGAGTCGATAGGCTCTGTGTTTCTTGCACCTCATCCCTCATATCCTCGAAATGAACAGAGGAGTTGGACAAAAACATGCTTTGTTGGGTAGCGATAAGTAAGGAGGCACAGATATCACGGTCAGGTGCGTTCGGTGTGCGATTTCACCTCTGGATCCGATAGTACCTGATGCGGCACGAGGCTTGCATCTACTGATCGCCTCTCGCCTAAATAGTGCATTCAAATAAATATGTACTAAATTTGTAATTCTTACGAGTGGAATGACTATTCCACTAACTAAAATAAGAGTTTTCCAATAGAAAGTTAGGGGATTTCAGCTGTCGTCACAATTTCTTTATTGACATTCGTGTATACTATACCCTTAATTGTTGTATCACCACATAAATTACCCGACAACTTTTTAGAGCCTTGACTAATGGATGGAGATTAAACCACCATTACAAAAAAGTACAGGGAAAGGGTGCAATATTTTGCTGCTCTTTGGCAATAAATCATGAAACAGGGAAACCGCAAGACCAGGAGATGTTTGAGGCAATGAGCACTTAATAGCCTGCAAAATAAAGTAACAGAATGCCCTACTAATGGGAGGTGCTGGGATAAGAGCCGCCATGTTCAATCAAATTAAAAAAGGACTGGAGTTGCACCAATAAAAAGTACGAAGCAGAAGATTTTATGAAGTGTAATTTGGCAGTCAACAGCCATTTAAATGCTTTGAAGTGGTCGCAACATTCAAATTGCTTAAACGGTTCCCTACAATGCAAGTTCAACTTCACCATCGCCAATTTGCGTGCGGCGTTCAAACAGAAGCAGTTGAGGCAGTGGGGAGTGGAAAAATACACACCACGTTATTGAATCAGATTGACTCCTTTAGCATTATTAAGAAGCAAAACCTCCGAAATCCTTCAGCTGATTGATTACAATACCGGGTCTACTGTACCTGCTCCTTAAGTGTAGCAATCAAACAATATTCATTGTAGTCAC